AAAACACAGCCCAACAGGTTTGATCAGGGTGTCTGTTCCTGCTTGTTTCCATCAGTAACTCATTTCCACTCATTTCCCACTTCCAACTGAAATTACCTTTTGTACTTATTGTAAGCATTTTTATTTTCTTATTTTGAAAAGAAAAAAGGTCTTCAGTAAGCAGAAGGCTCCTTTAAGTATCTGAATTGTCCGATCTTATTTATGTTCATATACTGATACGAAGGGGATTTCCTTCGAGTGGTGGGGTCCCCTCCTGATCCCACCCACTGATATTGGTCTAGAGTATTGTTAGGCTTACAATGCCCCAAACTCCCAAATAAAAACACAGACAGAATCAGAGGTGGAATGTAACTTATTAAAGTACGTTACTAAAGTAAAGTTTTAATGTACTTGTGTTTTATTGAAGTATTTCCTTGTTAAAACTTATCATTTTATTCAAATAGGATTACGACATTAACGTCTCAGAGACATCAATGGGTTGTTGTGTATGATTCTGCTGATAAGCAAAGAATAACGTTCAGTGACCGGAAAGCACAATTTTGCTTACTTCAATCTACAATTCATTAAAAAACAACAACAAAAGACCTCTATTACATCAGTGTCTGCGCCTCTTCAGTGTAAGATATCAACCTGGCTGCTAGGCTAACATTTTAATGGTATTTGTACAGTGGATGAAAATTTTTTAAAAATGAATTCTCTTCACATAACCCTTGTAACTTCTTTCTACTGGAATAATATTTTCCACTGGAATAATATTTTCCTGTGTAAGTTGCAGAAGTTCTGTTGTAGCAGAAAAACAATGAGTGTTGAACTTTATGGAGACATTTTGAATGATTCCATAGACACAGAGTCAACCAGTCCCCCCAGACCTTCCAGCTTCTCTGATTTCATTTGGACTTTTCTAAACCTACTTCATTACACTGATGCTGGAAACCATGTCATTTGTAGAGAAAACTATGCAAAATCAGGCAGCAGATTCTTCGCCTGTGCTTTTCTTTTTATGATAAATTAGCACCAGCTCAGTGATGACCCATGCTCAGTGATTTGGGTTTCCTGAAAAGTCTAGGTTTCCATTCCTCCCCCATAGTATCAAACTGGCTGCCCTCAAAACTGACAAAGTGCTGTGTAAATTGAACTGAACAGGGCTAATAATCTAATCCAATAAGTATGTTTTGGTTGGAGCTGCCGATTCCAGAATCCACTCGTACTGCTGATCTCCCTGCTTGTCCTACATTTGTTACTGGATGCCAGAGCCGTGCCCTTCCTGTCCAGAGACCAGACTCTCCCTGTGCCTCTTCCAACTGTTTATCGGGCACC